AGATAATCTGAACTGTTCATACTGTTCAAGAGTCAGGAGTTAGGATTATGGGGAAGTTTACTCTTTCCACACATTACGGGGTGGATGCACTTTGTACATTATATAGTTCTATAATGTTAGAATTTTCTTTCATAATTAATATGTATTACCTGAGATGTGATCAGAAAAAATAAGAAATGCAAAAATAAAAGGAAACTGAAAAAAAATGTCTCCTAAAAGTATCTATATCGAAAGAGAGGTCAAAGAAAAATACTATTTAGTAATCTAAAGGAGTGCTTTGAAACCACCTTCTTTGGAGCTCTAAGGCCCCTCACGTTCTTTGAGAGCCAGCACAGGGCACGAGGGGAGATGATCTCCAGACATGCCCCTACGCAAACTTCTCAGCTTCAGTATTTTACTTTTATGTTTTAATAATGAAGTTCTGCCGATAATGCGTTTAAAAGCTCATTATCTAACACGGTGTATCTAAAAAGGTGTAACTATTTCTGAAATGTTCCTCAAAGCACTTTCTGGGGTCTGAGTAAGCTTTCCAGGAAAACAGATGTGTTTTCCCTTGTGTTTTCTGAGCACAAGATTTTAATACCTAGCTTTTTAGTGGAAGGTCTGCTGCATTTATGAGCTGTCTGGATAGAAAGCCGGGTGCTCTATGCATAAGGATCCTCTGTTCAAGAAGGCCAAGGCAGCAGGAAGCCTCTCATACCCCACCATCTGGCCAGCCTCTCTGAATCATGGTCAGCCATCCAGAAGCAGAAGATTCAGGATCACTAGAGACTATTTTCAGATGAATGAGAACTCAAGCCTGAGCAATTAGAAATAGGTCAATGACTTTTTAAAGCAACTTTCTTAAAAGACGATGCTTTTCTTTGCAAAATTCTTTTCTCATCACTGGTCTTTCTTTAAATAGAATATGGTAACTGCCTATAAATCCTTTTTCTTGTTTTTAGAAGTCTTCTGTTACAGAACTCATAAGTATTTTTGGAGGTTACTTGTATTTCTCTAGCCTTGAATTCTTAAGAGAAAATCTGACTTTAGAAATATAAATGAGAGGCTTCAACATCTGAGCTAAAATAAAATGTCTGTATTCTCTAGAGTTAAAAAATGCTTTTTAGAAATTTTAATTTTTTCATTTGGCTCTTCATTATCTGTAATAACCAGAGGAAATCTTTCAAATGAAATCCTTTCCCTTGTTTTGTTTACTCTTCTTGACTTTCACAGCCGTATCTTCATCTGGATTCTTATTGGGCCGAAACTAATAAGGCATTTTCTGTGCATTATATCTCTGTGCTTCCTGACTGAGACCAGCAGAACCTATCTGTGAATTTCTGCTTCGGAACCAGCAGGGGGAGCTCACTCACACGGGAATCTGAATCCCTCTGCGCAGGGATGGTGGGAAAAACAACCCAACTTTCTTCAGTAAGACTGGCCCTTTTGCATTATGGATAAACCATCACATGATAAGCAACAGGTTACGGACAATGGTGCTGAGATAAAGAGAAGAGTTCTTGAGAGAATGTATTTAGAGACAGCCTGGCCTCAATGGCAAGGCCACTGTCCCCAAGCAGATGCACACTCTGCCTGTACCTGTTTTTCAAGGCTTGGCTTGCTAAGCTGTACAGTCTGAGGTCCAGCGAGTCTGGTCCCTGGAGTAGCTATCACAATGCTGGTGAGCTGGGCCATAGGGAACGTTTTGGCTATGGTTGCAGTCTGCCCATTGACGACACGGACGGGATGGATGGAATTCTGGGAGGTAGGGAGGGTCGTGGGGGTGAACTTGGTCAGCATGACAGGCCTCTGGATAAGTTGAGGAGCTGCAAGCATGGGAGGAGGTGCTGGGGCAATAGGAATGTTATTCTGGGCCACAGGCTTGGGTCGAACCTATGGGGAAAGAGAGAACAATTACTGTATTACTTCAAGAAATTTCATAAGCCTTGTAAGTCTAAAACATTGCCAGGTCTTTTATACTATATATGTGAAATGGTATTGAGTACCAATATTTATTAATATTCATTTTGGTGTTATTAGTCCTATACATATCAGGATATATAATCTTATAGAAGACTCATCAGCTCTTAACGGTGTCCAAACGCTACCCTACAACATGGTTCTTCTGGATCCAAACCTTAGCTCCTTCTCCCATACCATGCTGCTTCCTCAGGTTGAGATCAAATGCCTAATCCAGAGACTGGTCTCACCCAGAACTTGTGCCCAGTATGGTAATAACGCGGCCATCGATCTTAATTCACATTCTAAATTTCTTCATGTCCGTGAATTCACTTCAGCCCAGCTCCTAACTCCCTGTTCTCGGCCGCTCCCTCTCTAAGTCACATTTGTGGACTTCCTCTTCCTCTGCCCAATCCTAAACATTAAGTGTTTCTCAGAGTTTTGTTCTGGAACCTCTTTTTTTCCCCAATCTTCTCACTCTTCCTGGGGTTTTTCACCCATCCCATGGCTTCAATTACCATCTATGTACTGAAGACGTCCATCCACACTTGCATCTCAGGACCAGACATTTCCGAATATACTCAACTTCCTGTCATGTATCTCTACTTGGAAATCTCATAAGAAATTAAAAATCAGCATGTCTAGGGGTACCTGGCTGGCTCAGTCAGTGGAGCATGAGACTCTTGATCTCAGGGTTGTTAAGTCCTAGCCCCATCCATGTTGGGTGTAGAGATTACTTAAAAATAAAATCTTTCAAAACAACATCAACAACAAAATCAACATGTCTAAAACTCACCTGTTCGTTCCTCTAACCCTCTCTTCCTCCTATTACCATCACCTTGGTAAATGGCTTTCTTGCTAAATACACTTCAGAACCATTCTTGATGCTTCCTACTTCACCTCTACTTCCTAAATCCTTCTCAATTATGGCTACTTCCTAGGTCCTTACTGCCACTTATGTTTGGCTTACTGAAACGGTAACAAAAATTACAATGAAAAACACGAGGTCAGCCTTGCTTGGGTTCAAATCCTGGTTCCTCCCACTTACTAGCCAGGTAGCCTCAGTAACATACCTGATTTAAGCCAGCATTTTTCAAATTTTCTATACAGTGACCCTATGGGCAAAATCCTTTCCCCCAATGCATGAAATTTTGACCTTCAGTTAACGCTCCAGCTCTGTTCCCCTGGGAACCTGATTAAGGGTAAGAATGTCAACTATGTTACCAGGCAACATCGCTTACGGTAAAAATGATCCCTCACTGCTAAACTGAATCCGAACTGAATCTGAACAGGGAGCATTATAAATACTTGATGGGATGCTCTGCTTTGGGCTTCATGCAGTGGGGTGACTCTTGTAACCGGGCATGTCCACTGGGAGGACCCTGAAAGCCATGCCTACAGAGTTGTTACAAGACGCACTGGCTCTTGTGAAGCATAAGACTATTGTGCCAGGCTGGCTCTACCACGGTCTTCTTCAGGATCTCACGTCCCCGCATCTCAGCAATCACTAGACGGCTGCAGAGACTGCTATACGGGCTGAAGCAAAATGTCTTGACGCTGTCTTGCTGGTAAGCTCTGGTTTCTGTCTCACGTTGTTCCAAGTACACTGGTACCAAGTGTGGGCCTGGACAGTCTTGTGAGTCTGAGTATTTAGCTGAATTTAAGATGCCCCGGTGGTGTGGGGCACTTCGGTGGCTCAGTCAGTTGAGTGTCGGGCTCCTGATTTCTCCTCAGGCCACGATTTTGCAGTCGGTGGGTTTGAGCCCCGCGTCGGGCTCCGCGCTGACAACGTAGAGCCTGCTTGGGATTCTCTGCCTCCCTCTCTCCGCCCCTCCCCCGCGTGCGCATGCTCTCTCTCTCAAAATAAATAAACTTTAAAGAAAAAAAGAAGAGCCGGTGGTGGCTGCTGCCGACACACAGTAGGGAATACATTTCATACTGTAACCAGCACACACACATAGACATATGTCTGTATCTCTACAAAACAAAAACTTCACGAAACATTACATGTGTGCTAGGTACTCTACCATTTCACATTCTGTTTTGCTGATGTTATTTAAAAACTCTGGTTACAATACATTATACTGATTTCACACAGCCTACTAATGGGTCATGACCCACCGTCTGGAAAACATGGGCTAAGCCCTACGTTCCTTGTCTAAAAAAAAGTAATACCTAACTTTCAAAAGGCTATTGTGAAGATTAAAATAGATAACCCATAAAAAGTGCCCAACACAGTAGGTGGCACATAGCGGGAGTCTCTAAACATTAGCTGCTGTTATTGTTGATGATGTCCTAACTATACCTCCTGCCCACAGTCTTGATCATCTTCAATCCATTCTCCACACAGTGGCAAGAGGGAATTTTCTAAAACAAAGATCTGATCATTTCAAGCATTTGTTTAAAAATGCTTTCATGGATCCCCATTGCTCCTGGGTTTGTCCCAGGGCCTTTTGCCCAAACTCCTACACAGCCTAGAAGGCCACAAGATCTGGCACAATGGACCTCTCCAGCTTCACCTCTTGCCTTAGCCTGAGTCAGCCACATGGCCCACTATGCCTAGCCACACCAAATCTCCTTTGGTTCCTTAAGCTTACATGTATCTCTCCATCCTGGATTTGCATATATGCTCTACCCTCTGCCTGGGACATTTTTGTTCTTCCCCCCAAGTTTGGACAGGCTAACTTTACTAGGATTTTAAGTCTCAGACTGAATGCCAACTCTTCCATGAAACTTTCTATAAAACTTAAGAATGAGTTGGGTGTCCCTCCCACATGTGGTCAGACTAAACTGTACTTCCCATAATGGACACTGTAATTGTCTGAACACATGTCTGAAGCTCTCTGAGGACAGAGAACAGTCTATCTTGAAAACTGGCATATCCACAGTGCTTAGTGCCTTTTTTGATATGCAAGGTATTTATTAAGGATCTACCTGATAAATGACTGAAATCACCTTCTCTCACATTAGCAATGCCCATCCCTACCACACAGGCAATTCAGAAATCACTTATGGCCACTGAACACAAATTTCTTTTCTCTTCTCTCTTTGCCTGCCACATGGGGCCTCAGATGGGAACTCCTAGCCTTTCTACCTGGCAAGTCAAGTCCCCTCAAAACCCAGACTGGGGCAATCCTGACACTCTGTAATGAGAATGGTGAGTTCAGTCCGATTATCAGGAGAATATGGGCAAGCAGAGCTGCTTGAGCCCAGGTAGAAAGTTCCCTGTGTAGACCCCTAGTCTAAACCTCTATAGGCAAGGCTTTGTGTTTAAGTATGATGCTTAATGCCATCACCTATCACAGTAAAACTAAATGGTTTCTACGAGTTAGTTTGGCTATTGTTTCCTTCCCTACTCTCTTTGGCATCTAGGGAAAAAAAAAGTAGTAATTATATTCCTTCCCCACTGGTAGGCAGGTTTGGTTAAATTTCCAGTAAGTTAACATTGTAAGGTTTATAGTGGTGCTATCTTAAATTTTCCTTTTCTTCTCATCCCTCTGCTACTGCCTTTGGTCATTGCCTAGAAACCCTGGTGATAAAATACGCCTCTTCATGGTACAGAAATCAGCAGGTAGAATCTTCAGCCAAGTCAGATCTGAACACAGCTGAGCTGATAAGCACACTTCAGGCTGCTTAGAAAGGGCCCATGAGGACTTTTGTCTCGGCTAACCCGTCACTGGGCTTAGTCACTAATTTACTCACCTGTGGAAGAAAGTTTGGACGTGGAGTGAGTCGAGGAGGGGGGATAAACTGTGGTACTTTGATGGGCTGAGGAGGTGTTGCCTGAACCTGCTAAAAAATGGGAAACATAAATAAACCAGAGGACAATAATTGTTCAATAACAAAGCTTAGGCGTTCTTCAAGTAATTTTAGCATCGCTATTATCTGGGTCAGATGATCCTTTCTAAAAGTTTTCATTGTAGAATTACCCATCTGAATTGACTCTGCCTCGAGAAAACTGTCTTACTCTCTCACCTGCACGCTCCAGCCTACAAAATGAACCAACCGCATTTCATTTTCCTTACCTGCCTCATGTAAAACACAGCAGGCTCAGCAATCTTAGACAATTTCCTTTGACATTCAAGAACTCTTGCATGTACGTATTATAAAAATCAAGACTGGATCCAAAGTAAAATCAAACTTGCTGCCTGGCCAAATGGGCTTCTTCCTAATAGAAGAGCTTTCTCTAGCGGTGAATAGCTTTGTTCCTGTAGAGAACTCTCTAACTCTCAGCATTTGGCTGAGATAGCTGGTTGCTTCTCTCAAGATTCCTGGTAAGTGCTGAAGCGTCACTTCACTGCTATCTAGTTTCACTCGTCACTGGTCATCATTCAAAAACCACCAAGAGCTCTTAGCTGGCATTTTAAGAAAGGACTTTTCCAAACCACAATTTGGTTCTATTTCCCCCAAGCTTCAGAGAGCATCAGTTTCTAAATGGTTTTACCCTAGACTCTCATCAACAATTTTGGTTCAAGTACTTCTTCTTCAAGGGATCTTTTTCCTGATGGACCTTGGACACGGACATTGTTAATTTTTGGATTTCTCGAATATTTGTAGAGCACCTCAGCTTGCTCTGGGACTTCCTGGGTGCAGCCCATTTCAACTAAACTAAATTTGAGCTAAAGGAATTCAGCAGGGAGTTTTCCCCAAATCGGTAATATAGAACCAGAGAGTGTAAGCATTCGAGTATCACAGGAAGGTTTGCGAACAGGATGGAGAGAGATACATGAAACAGTGTGCATGCTGCTATGAAGGACGTTCCCCCACAAGCCAGGTCATAACTTTGACCTCAGGTAACGCACTGCATGCGTTTTGGTCCTTGGTGTCGAGGACACTTCTACAGCTGTTTGAGCATCCGGCAGGAATGCCATACTCCCTTGTCAGCCCCAAAGGCAAAACTTGGTATGGTTGAATGACAGAGACTAAAAAAATCCAGCAGGGGCATAAAATGGATATACTCTACAAATGCATATCCTGAACCCTCTCATGTGGGCACACATGAGTAGCAGCTGCTGGCTTACCAGAGTGACTGTGTTTTTTGCCACAATTTGGACAGCCTCTGCCCCAGGCCCAGTGACCTTACTAGACGTCTGGAGGTTGACCGGTGTGGTCTGCACATCAGTGCTGAGCACAGCCTTCTGACTGTTGATGGCGGTCACCATAGCAATGGTAGGTCTCTGGCCCACAACAGAGGCAGGCATGGTCGCAGTTGCTGCTTTCAAGACGAGAGGTAGTGTCTTTGTGGTAATCATAGAAGCTGTAGTTACAGTCTTCTAGGAGACATGGAGAACAGATATTAGGACACTGAAGTGTGACCCCGCTAAACAATATGCTGCTAATCCCCAGAAGAAAACAATGCAACGATTCTCATGATCAAGTTTCTCACTAGAACATTTCTTATGGGTACGCACAGCACACTTCTTACTATAGGGAAGGATAATCTCTAGTTTGTGCCAGGGTTTTCAAAGTTAGCTTCCAGTTCATAGTAATAACTACAGACAGATATGGGCACAGGACTTTCAACAATGAATGGGGTGGGTTTACAGATAAAGAATATGAGTATACCTATTTAGTCTGGTTTTTTATTCTTTTCTTGCTCTCAATTAATTTAAACTCTGTAGAAGTTGCAAATCAATGAGGTACACACCATCACTATCTTTAATTGCTACAACCTCATCAATATGAAGAAAGCCATCATATAATTCTGGTTATCTGCCTCCTGTGACACAAAAGCTGGGATGAAAGGACAGTGTCTTTTCATTCGAGTGTCACCCTAGAGAGGAGGAAGGGAAACTCGCGTGAGGATTTGCACCATTGTTGCCTCAGAGGCAGTAAATCCCAACCTCTAGATAGTAAAACCTATTGACCGACTAGTTTTGTAAACACCGGCTCTCGATATCAAAGGGATGTGAGTCACTAACTACCATTTCTTCTCCGGAGGACTGCTGCAGAAGCGATCAAAGATCCAGTGAGATATGACAAGGTGGAAACAAACACCTGCGCTTCAAAAAGGCTTATAGATCAGAGGATGAACAGAGGTGGCGGGGCTGAATGATGCTCCCCGAAGTGCCACTGTGGCTCTGTAGCCGCAGTTTCCAGACTTCTGACTAGAGAAATTAAAGGGGCCAGCTATGAAACAAGAAAACGCTAACAACCTTGCTACGTGGCATACACGCCTCTCTCGTGCCGCTGCTCACTCCGGATCCAAACGTTTCAGGGACGTGAAAGTTTATCTGGTTCAATATGCTCGTTCTGATTTTGACACGACTCCACCTTTTTCTTCTTATTCTACACTTGCACTGTCCAATTTGGTAGCTACCGGCCACACATGGCTATTTAAATTCAAATTAAAACAGAATAAAATTAAAACATCAGTTCCTCAGTCACACTGTCTGCATTTCAAGTGTTCAAGAGCCACTTGTGGTTAGTGGCTACCAGAGTGGACAGTGAAGATTTCTAACACCGCGGAAAGTTCTACTGGACAGCACTGCTCCAGACCAGTGAAAAGGACCCCGCTGTCCCCTTTGCATCTGGACAAATCCCCTTGTGCATTTCTATTTCAGTGACTGTGTCAGAACTTGTGTATTAAGTTGTTTTTTTCTAGGTAATGATTTCTATGTTCTGCCATAAACACACACGTACGTGATCTTTTAACCTCTTTATTTTCTTTCAATGAAAACAATTAATGACCTCGCCTCATCTAACCCATCGTAGCCTATGAGCAATCCTTATTAATGCTTGTAATTAAAATCACCCAAATCTTTGTTTCCTCTTCTCTAGTCAACAACACAGGCGCATCTCATTGTCCTTGCCACCGCCTCCTCAAAGGTGAAATGGGAGTAAGAGGGGAATGCTGATATTTATCCTGGGAAGTAGTGGCTCATCTGCTATCTATCCAGGATAAAAACCAAACCAAAGCTAAATGCTACATGTCATTAGAAATATCACGGGAGGAGGGGCGCCTGGGTGGCGCAGCCTGATGCCGGTTAATCACTGGCTCATCTGCTGTCCGTGAGTTGCCCGCTGGCCAGGCTCTGGGCTGATGGTTCAGAAGCCTGAGCCTGTTTCCCGAACTTGGTTGTGCTCTCCTCTGCCCCTTCCCTGCCTCTCTGTCCAAAAAAATAAATACTGAAAAAAAAAATTAAAAAAAAAAAAAAAAATATCATGGGAGGGGTGCCTGGGTGGCTCAGTTGGTTGGGTGTCAGATTTCAGCTCAGGTCATGATCTCGCGGTTCGTGAGTTCAAGCCCCGCATCAGGCTCTGTGCCAACAGCTCACAGCCTGGAGCCTGCTTTGGATTCCGTTGTCTCCTCTTTCGGTTCCCTCCTCTGTCATCATTCTGTCTCTCCTCTCAAAAATAAATAAACATTAAAATATTTTTTTTAAAAAAGAAGTATTACGGGAGTGTAGCAGGAAGGACCGACTTTACATTGCCAGCTATTTATAATAAGTGTTTTTATTTTTTATTTTATTTTTTTATTAAAAATTTTTTTTAAACGTTTATTTATTTTTGAGACAGAGAGAGACAGAGCATAACCTGGTGTGATATCAACCCTATCTTTCAGTTTAAGACATTAAAACACAAAGAACTTTTCAAGCGGTAAGCAAGTCACACAGATGGCATTCCATCTTGTTCCCAGCACAGGTTATGGAAGTAAAAGCTCTAATCAGCAGAACTCACTGACATGGGTTTTAAAAAAATGGTGGTGCATACTGTCGCTGCTTTGAAAGAGGTCATGTAATTTTGTTTGAGGCGTCCTTGGTTCACATAAATTATCACCAATATTTTGAATAATCCTAAAGTGATTATGCTAAAAAACGGAGTAAAACCTCAAACTCACCTGAATTATAATACTTACCATTAACCGCAACACTTAAAAAACCCTGAAAGCTAACAAATTTGTTCGCATCTTAGGTTAGCATTTTATTCTAGTTTATATTTATTTGTAGCCAATTTCACAACATGTATTCTAGCATCTACATAATCCTCTGTATACACAGGCACAAGACCTGGTGCTATATTCACCAATGAAAACTTTCTGAAAAATGTATTTATGGGGCGCGCCTAGATGGCTCAGTCGGTTAAACGTCTTACTCTTGATTTCAGCTCAGGTCTTGATCTCACAGCCCCTGAGTTCGAGCCCCACATCGGGCTCTACGCTGGCAGTGCAAGGCCTGCTTGGGATTCTCTCTCTCCCTCCACCCCTCTGTCTCTCTCTCTCAAAATAAATAAATAAACTTAAAAAAAATAAAAATATATTCACTAACTAGTTATTGACACCAGGTATTAACACAGGTATTGCTTAAATCTCTACCCCTGTTCTGGTGCTTACTGTATTCTAAGTACCTGGAAATATAAACACCACTCTTGGGAGTGTTAGAGTTTAGATGACAAAGAGAATCCGGAATTTTGAAATCCAAACCTAACGAAAACCTCTGACCTTTTTGGCAACAAGAAGAGAAGTCACAGAGAGGAAAGGTGTCCAACAACAAATAAAATTATTTTTCTGGAAGCTGTGGTTAGTGTCTGGCTGGCTGATGCCACCCAATTGTGATCAGCTTCAAGATAAGATAGCAGTTTCCACATGGTTTCATGAAGAGGTTACTTTTGACAAAACCCAAAGTGCACCAACTAGAAGTTAATGCCGAAATACAGGCCAAGAAGCACTAGAAGCAAAATCCTTTTTATTTATTTATTTTTTACCAAGTTATTATTGTTGTTTACCTGCAGAACATGAGGTTCTGACTTAAAACAGACAGGCTCTAATGAACAAATGAGAAGTTAGAGGGATTATTACTATGGGCTCTAATGAACTTCCATACCTATTTTAGACTCTTTTCGTTTAATTCTGAGTGGAAGGTAACTGTTTCACACTCAGACGACTGCAAATAGAACCACCCCAACCCCCTTTTTGTCCCTAAGGGTTTATTTTCTATTTGGTTTTTTTAACTGCATGCTTCTTTCCATTTGTATTACATCGTTAAAAATGACAGGGTTGTGAGAATAGAAGTTGAAGGGTATACCTGCATTCAACTCTTCCTATTTTTTTCTATTTTCCTTCTTTTCTTTTTTTTCTATAGATTGAAAAAATGTCAAAATCTACATACAAGGATGAGCTTGAGTTAACTGAGTAAAGGGAGCTGGTCCCCCCACTCCCCATGCCTTGGTCCACGCTAGAATAAAAAACTTTCTCTTCCTAGCATCTCCTCTTTGTCTGCCTTAATTGCTACTTAATAGCCATTCCTTTCTGAACCTAGATATTTAGTATAGGACGTATGCAACCTCCCATTCATTTGTCCTCGAGTTCACGAACCTTTTTTTTTTTTTTTTTTT